CCCCCCCCCCCCCCCCCCCGCTAGATTGGAAACCCGTATACAAGAAATGGGGCAGAGGAGTTTGCGGTTTCGAATCCTGTATTCAAAGTAGAAGAAAAATCGGAAGCAGGACTGCATTCGTTTGACTAGGGCCACTGCCATCACTGGTACTTTTCAGTTGATGAGTTGATCATACAGACTAAGACGGGAAGGAATAGCAGAAACTGGTGGCGTCAGTGGCCACAACAGCTAGGAGTGTTACTGCTACTTGCACTACAACTACTAGTGCTACGAGGGGGAGTAAGCTTTGAAGCTTGGGGTCTAGAAGCTCAGCGAAAATCACAGCGCGAACTTTTTTGATTTCAAGAGCGAGTGTATGCGAGACCCCCACCTAATATGCAGACTGTCCGGCCAAAACGAAGCCTTCATAATAACGCGGCGCCATGCAACCTTAATCAATGATAGTTGAGAGATTAGCGAATAGGGGGCAAGCCCGTCGCCGGAAGAGCACTTTTCATCGGGCTCTACTCTTATCACATTCCCAACCGAGGTGACGCTAAGTACCCACGGTGTCGCACCACAAACAACAGTCACTGAAGACACGCGTCTCACGATACCAGGCAGGACTGACAGGCAACAGGTCGATAACCTGGATGTTTCATAGCCAAACACATATGGCTGCGTGCAGAGATGCACCCAAGAAGGGACATGCTGCCGCGTGACGAGAAACGAGCGTCGGCAACGGCTGCTCCTCCTCCTCCTACTACGACGATGCCGACCACTACTTCTTACTATACTCCCACTACGACTACGACGACGACTACTACGACTGCGTACGACGACTACTGCTCATGCAGCCGACCGGAGCAAGCGGCCTCCTACAACGGTCGATTGATGCTCAGCATTCCTGCAGCACATGTTTGCGTGTCACTCAGGCTCCACTCCACAGCGCCACACAGCAGCTGGTGAAACGCAGAATCCCCCCAGTGTGACTGAAACAGACACCTCGCGGGCCACAAACCCTGATGGGCAGAATCATGCTGCTTCAGGTTGCGATTGTGCACACACACGCACACTCCATCCGTCAAAGTGGCACCACGGGTTGGTGTGAGACTTCCAGCACAGAGAACAACCGACGAGGCATGAAAAGACGGTCTGTGATCACAATGGATAATGCTGCCCAGGGGCATGACATTCAACACTGCGAACTGACCTGCCATGCCACGCATGCCGATGGACTGGGATAGCTAGCTTCAACCTTTCGCAATGTTGCCAAGCCACAGAAAGCGATGTAAAAGTGAAACCACTGAACCCAGAGCAAGTTGATAGGACGCAGTGCATCAGCCGCATCATACCAAGAAATGCCGTTCAAGATCGCACGGAAGAGTGTGAAGAAGGAGTCGTACAAAGTACCGAAGTACTTTTCCATCGTTGTGTCTTGCTCACCGGTGTCTTCCAAATGATCCAGCACGATGTCTGTGAATACGATGCTAAACATGTACATGATTAGTGTCAGCAGGAGCATAGCCCAAACCAGCTGCTTCGAGGTGTCCACCAGCGAGTGCACCAATGTGCGGAGCGCCTTGTACAGGGCAGGAAACAACAGTTATGATTATAAACAGGGTCTCTCCTGCAGTGGAAGCTGCAGTAATGCCGATGATGATGATGATGATGGTGATGGTGTTGCTGATGTTGTTGTTGTTGATGTTGATGATGATATTATCATTTTGCATGACGACCCCAAATAACCTTCATGACCAGGACTCCGACAATCCTAGTAATTGTGCTGGCGGCGGTGTTGACGATCATGATGACGCATGCGACTCCGGCGTTTTTGCGAGTGAAGGGAAGCTTCCATTTTCTGATTTATCTTTGATCATCAACACCAACAGCGCTATCCTGCCATCATCGCCGCCTTCATCCACCTATTGAGCAACAGTACCACCATGGCCGTTCTGGTCACAACGAGGATCGCCGTCTGTGTACTCGTAACCATCATCACTGCTGCTTTTCTTCTTCATCTCCATGAACACCACCGCTGTCAATCATGAAAAGCAGACTTGAGACATTAGTGCCGGCATAACACGTGCCATTTTTCCATGCGAGTCTTTAACTTCACCATCACCTCTACATTCACCGCGCTTCGTCTACGTTGCCATCATCACGACAACCAGCTGCTGAATCAGTACTGCATTTGCGCACCAAGAATATTTCTACACCATCATGGATACAGGCAGCAGCAGCAGCAGCAGCAGCAGCGCAGTGGGCATAGTCATCGGCACGGTCATCATTCGCCTTCACTGTGGACCGTGTCCTAAAAAATATTTTGCTGAGTGGGCACGCGTCGAAAGGAAACCCTCTGTGCAAAGACTGCATGGGCACCAGCTTCTCGGTTGGCAATACAAAGGCGAGCCTTGAACACGCGAGCGACGCGAATTACACGGAGGACACGTAGGAGGCGGCCCACTCTCAGCACCCGTACAAGCCGCAGGTTGCTGTTGGAGATACCTCGGTTTAGCGCAGTCAGTGCAGCTTGTGCTTGCTTTCCAAAGTCTTACTGAGGCAGCTGCACTTGCTACTTAGGCGGATGCATGCATGAATACTCTTGTGAAGAGGATTCAAAGTGGGCTGGTCTTTACCTTGTCATAAAGTCTGTTGACACGATAGGACTTGCCATGGATTCCCACCCTGTGGCGGGCCAGGCTCGGTCTTGTCTCAGAACATTACAAACTGTGGCATCGTGAGACCAGAAGCAGCTGAGCAAGCTGCACCATGCGACATGCCGTGACTCATGCAGTCAAAGCTGCTGGTGGACCCCGTCGGACTCGCGAACTCCAGAGACAGCTCTGCCCAGGAAGAGATGACAACAAAGACATCCTGGACTGCAGATTTACGGCCCCCAGGTCGCTTTGGCAGCTGTTATATCGCGCAAGAAAAATCTGAAAGTACACGTTGCGACACTGTTGCCACCTAGCATCTAGCCAATTCCATGTCCAGCTGGAGGAGAAGAAGAAATCCCAGAATCCCTCACCAAGCAACCGTAGCAGAACCTCCACCGTGAAGAGCACAGCATATAAGGTGTGGATCACGAAGAAAACAATGGACGTGTCTGAGGGCCCGGGATTCTGAGCCCGGTACTGAAGCTGAATACCCAGAAAGAGCGAATTCGATAGAATGGCGGCGCCAAAGAAGAGGTTGGCCCATTGGGAATGGATGACCTTCTCGGAAAACTCAGTGAGGCTCGCCCAAAGCTTCTTACATCGACTTGGATTCTGGCGATGTACTTGCATTGATGTGTGCGATCCATCCTTTGTCCAAACCTTCTTAAAGCTCTCTGAAATCCTGCTGGACTTCTTGACAGCTACAGTGTAGCTGTCCAGCCGTTTCATGGAGGTGCGCGAGTTCCGCGATGATGGCTCGGAACGGACCGACATGCTGGGTGCTTTCTCCTTCAGAAAAGAATTGCTCGGGTCCCCAATGGTATCTTTCGATTCTTTACTTTGACTTCCGCGGGAAGACACTGAAAATCTGGGGTGGCTCGGCAATAAATGTGTGACAGGCGCGTGGTCGATTGTTGTTTGTAGCCGAGAGATCGTCGTCTCCACTCTCTCAAACCAGCCATCCAAGTGTAACAGCAGCTCTTTGTGCTGGTCCTTCAAGCGCTGCTCCGTGCTTGTGATAGGAAGATCTTCGACCATGGCGTCAAATGGCAGCACTAGACCGAGAGTACAACAACGCTCGATACGAAACAAGACCACATTACTCCTGATTCTAACCTACCCTAGACCCCATCAGACGCTAGAATCACCTAGCATTCTACACGCCAAACAATGCATGCAATCCTCCACGCTCACGAAGCTTTTTGCCTACTCGTTTTAGATTGTCGGGCTTTAGTTCCTCGGGGCGTGAGAAGTGTCATTCCATGCTTGACCAGAAGCCTCAGCTAACAGAGCCTCGCGAACCATTAGACATTCACGGGCAGGAGCCAAGAATCAAAGAAACCTGGGATAAACCGGGATAAAAATGTTCACGTGCATTCATATGACCCATGGAATGCGCTGTTAAACCTAGGAGTGGCACTGATCATGGATGTGCTCGTGCGGATTCGCATATTGCACCTGATGCCTGAATAACATTCACAGCACACACTGGGCCTTGCATGTATACACCACCATACGCATCGTGCTTGAATAGGCTCGTATTTTTACTAGGATGCGGTGCACACTCCTAGACGATGTCATCGCTACTAGGATGCGGTGCACACTCCTAGACGATGTCATCGCGGAGGCATTGCAAGCTCGGCACTTGGCAGCAGAGCCAAATGTGCTTCCCCGTGCTCCAGAATCAACAAAGGTCGTGCTTCTTTCAATGTGGCATGGAGGCTTGTGCTGTGGCTCTGACCCAGATTACATGAAAACAGCAACGCTATACTGACAATAGCAAGACTGACCACGATACCGAGAGTAACGACATGAAGATTCAAAGCTCGACTGAAACAAGTACAGACGAAGGCACTAACCACAACAGAATTGCTCTGCACAGAGGCCATACCTTGCTGCATGTGAGCAGAAGCTGTTGCAAGCAACAGCGGTGACTCTAGAAGCGGTAAGCAAATCAAACTACGTTGGGGCCTCAGCAAGAATGGGTGTTGGGGTCTACCAGAAGTAGTTGCAGCAGTCGTAGCGCTCGTCGACGTAGTAGTAGTGGTAGTGGTAGTCGCAGTAGTAGTGGTAGTGGTAGTGGTCGTGGCAGTGGCAGCGGTAGTGGCAGCGATAGTGGTAATGGCAGTGGTAGTGGTGGTGTTGGTGATGGTGGTGGTGGTAGCAATCGTAGTGATGGTGGTAGTATTAGTAGTAGTAGTCGTCGTCGTAGTAGTAGTAGTTGCAGTAGTAGTAGTAGTACTACTACTACTACTACTACTCCTACTACTACCACTACTACTGCTACTACTACACTACT